TATATATATATATATATATATATATATATATATATATGCAGGCTTTATGAGATGTAGCTTCAAAACATACATTTTGGCAACAAGAGGACACTTTGATTCACCATACAGAAATAGTATATGCCATTCTTTCTTTTTTTTCAAGCAGTGAAGACTAATTAAAACTAACGAGAAAATAGAAAACATCTATTCTAAACAGCTTCTTTGTATTTTGTTGGAATATAGGCCAATGATACGAAGCACTTTTTTTTTTTTGCCCTGAACATGAACACAATTTAATTTGACACATGCGTTTTAATACATACCTCTAAAATAACAAGCCTAACTAGAATGCTACATTTTATAAACTGCAACCAACGCTGGAAACGTGCAATGACCAGCGAAATGAAAAAATAAAAAAATAGTATTAGAAATGTATGCTGAACGGCTACAGTTCTCACTCAAACGAACGGCAGCTGTACAAACAACACAAAAGTTTCCCCACTCTACTGTTTCTTCATTATATGATACTTATGTATCTTCTTACGTTATATATTTATTGGGATAGGCTACATTCATTTTTGTTCTCACCGTTTCTGTCGTGTTGTGTCGTGTATCTCTGCCACCGTGGTCCAGGTGTACAGGTGCTACTGGGACTGATGTGATTGAACGCGGCAAACTAGTTCGCGTGTGGGAAATGAAAGTTTTTTACTCGCAGTATTTGATGTGCGCATGCGCAGCTCTCAACCCTACGTTCCAGCACTTCTCAGTTTGTTTGTGCTTGTCATGTATAATATCAGCAGGTGCGTTATCATTACACCAAATAAAATGTTATAATGATAACGAACTATTATTAAATAACAATAAACAATATATACGTTTATACTGATTTTTTTATTTATTTTTTTTTTAAATAAGTTAAATTTTTATTTATGGTAGCCAACTCTCTCGGGTCAGGTAGACACCACTGTGACTCCTTCCACCTAAACCTTACTGAGGCTTGATATTTAGAGACCCTCTCAATAAATATAGCTGCTATTTTAGAGTTCAGAAATGTTTAATGGAATCAGGTCATCATTTGTTAATCCGCATCTTGCAAAACAGTGTTGTTTTCTTTTCTTTTTTTTTCTTTTTACATAAAAGATTAACTATATAGACATGCTGACATGCTTATAGACATTCTGTAACATTCACCATAATAAGCTTCCTTCCCAATACACCCAGAACTTATTACTGGAAAAAAATGGGTCATTCAGAAATAATAATGGTTATGATTTAACCAAATGACCATATAAACAAAAAGCTTCATGTCCCCCCTGGTCATGGGATATCCTTCTGAGGGATCACAGTATTAAACACAAGTGGCTGTAGTTTATTTTTTACCATTGTCTCCAGTCATTTCAGTCTGACCAGATAGTTATTCTGTTTTGTTAAAGTGCCCCTAATTATGGGTTAGGAAAGTTCATGTTTTTGTTTTGGGAGTCTATAACAACAGGTTGACATGCATGCAAGGTCAAACAACATTTGCATTGTCTTATAATATGCATTTATTTTTACCTTATTTGCTCAACGACTCCCAAACGATTCGCTCAACGATTAATTTTTCCAAACCCCTCCTTTGCGTGACGCTAATCTGCGGTGATTGGTCCTGAAGACCCAGTCTGTTGTGATTGGTCTACTGCGTGCAGCACATGTGAGAAATGGAACGCCTACCAAGTTTTCACGGGTCTGCGCACGCAACAAGTGGGCGGGCATAAATATGCTAATGTTTCATGTTGGATGCACATCATGTTCATGTTGTCAACATGAAACGGCTAAAGATTCGTTTTAAAAGCGACTCGTTTTAGTGACTCTTTCTTTTGAGGGATAATAACTTTATACACGGTGCACTTTCAGATTTAAAACTTTGCAGGATGTTTTCATTCACTTAGAGCTGTGTTAAACACTGCATGAAATGTAATGTTCAAAAATCCATAATAGGGGCACCGCACTAACGCGCAAGACTTGCAAAGAGACCAAATGGGACGATGCAAACTAAATAGGACCTGACAGTAAACCCACAACAGATTTTTAGCGTTATTACTCATAATATAAGTCATTTACATATAGCAGTATTAAACAGGCTGGTAAAGAAGCAAAAATAGCAAGTAAAAAAAATCTTGTAAGGAGAAACAAGTATGTCTCTTTTTATCGTTTCAGTTTCATTTTTAAAAATGTTCCAGAATTTCGGAAGGCAAGTCACACTGACAGTTACCACAATGTGTGGTCTGTGGCACATGACAGCTATGTGGAGAGAACATGCTGCCACAAGACCCAATACTTTCAGTTGGTATCAGTGACGCATTTTATTAAACACACTAGTCTAGATAAACTTGCCCACAAATAAAAGTTCTTGGAAGTGTCCAAAAACGAGCAGAACTTTTGCTATTTTGCAAACCCATTCTCCAAACACAAAAAAATACAAATCAAAATCTTCATATATAGTGTTAACAAGAAAGGTAAAATATTTTTACACAGAGTTTTGGTACTAAAAATTATTTAAATATTGAGTACACAAATATTTGTTTCATAATTGCTTATATATTTTCAGTGTCAAATTGATCCCTATGACATTTACTAAAATGTACAACTGTTATAAAAATTACTTTTAAGATAAAATAAAGATAAAGATTATCAAATCTTTTACAATTAAAATCCATGATTCAGCATATGTAGACTGTGTGATAGAATGCTTTAATGGTTAACATTTAAAAAAAAAGGTAGGCCTATATTATTCTAACCAATAGCACATTACTGATGTAGTGGGCAGTATCAGAGAACCAAACAGATGATAAGCTTTTGGATTCGGTTTATTTTAGATATTTATACATTTATTAGACTTAGTATATTTCATATAGCTCATATATAACTCTTTCATATTTAATATAGCTTTTACCTTTCATTGTCTTGGTCCTCCATGTGTTGATGTGCTTGGCTTGTTTTCAGTGGTTGGCTACTTGCAATGTTGCTCTCCTCTGGTAAGAGTTGACTGCTCTGCTGCTCTTCAAGTTTCTTCCGTTCATTTGTTGACAGTCTATCACATGAAATATTCAGCTATTCTTCAGTTTTATTCTGCTGGAATTACTTACGGACATGTTGCTAAACATGCACATATATTAAGTCATGTCTTTTAAGCATTTTGATCCTGATCAGTTTCTTTAATTTTGCAATTTATGTTTTTTCTTACCCTCTCAGGGAAATCCACTGTTAAATGAGAAACTGTTAACTTGCATAAGTGTGTCTGACACAAACATATATTAACATTGACTAAGCAGACCAATTTTACATCACACTGTTTTCTGACTTACATATACTGATATAGGAAGGGATACATGGGTAGCCCCGTTGGGTGTAGTGTGTGAGTCAAAATTTACATACAAAAGTTGTGTAACTTGAGTATTGAGTATTGGTTTTTATGTTTTTCCTTCCAAAATCTGTTTCTCCGTAGTAATATTTCACTAAGGAAGACGTTGTGGCTCTGCATGGGTGTTAAAAAATAGCCTGATGATGGATTGACTGATTGAACATATCTCCAAAATATACCTGATCAAATTCTTTTATATTGATAATTTACTCAAAGGTCCAGGAGTGTGGGAAGCTGGACTTTTACCTATCAATACCATATCCTGTGACATACAGTCCACCATGTTACCTCTACCACAACACCCAAAATGATTTCCTAATTCAGAAATCAGTACTTGTAACCACAATATGTAGAGATATTGAATTGTTGTTACACAGAGCATATGAGACACTCAGTACTTTCTGTCTAGCTGTTATATAATACTGTAAGTACCAGTACAAATACACACATACATTAGCCAACAAGTGCCAGTGCAGTTATTTATTTTCTGCTATGACTGTAAAGAGTTTTCAGTTTGTCATCTGACCTGCTTATTTCAGGATGACATTACAAAAACAGGTTCTTTTTAGAAAAAAGCCTTAGAACTCAAAGTCCATCACTATGCTGCTAATCTTTGTCATGAGACCTGCAACCAGCTAAGCAAATGGTAATAAATGTCTTTTCTGTGGTCATAATCTGACAGCACGGTTATGGATGTCAAATAGCTTTTTTGCTTTCTCTTGTTTGTTTCAAGATATCATCGCTGAATTAGAGAATCAGAGAATCAGATGGTGCATTTTTTTTTTTAGATTTTTTTTTTCAATTTAATAATATGACTGCCACAACCCAGATGTTTTTAGTGAGATTTCCATGATGTGCAACTGTAAATAAGACCGAGACACAATCTGAAGCATTTTACAAATAGAAAGATGCACTATCTGCATCCTGTGTCTGATATGATAAAGTGTACAGAACATGAACACTTGAACTCTAACCCTAATGGCAAAGGCAGCAGAGAGGTCAGAAAATGTAATGACATTATTGGTCACATTGCTTTTTTCCATGGTTAACTGTCTGTCTGTGTGTATTTTAGATAATGCACAATGTATATGTCTAGGTCAGCAATTTCGGAGTTGTGTGACTAACTGAAATATTAGAAGAGAAATCTCTGAAAGACATACCCACAAAAAATTTATCATTCTGGTTCTGGAAAATTTATGACAACTAAATTGTGCAATTAAATATTTATAAGTCATTCGTCGCTCTGATTACAAAATGTGGGCGATTCTTTTATCTACTTCCTAAATTCTCAAATGACAGTAGGTGAAAAACATTTTGCGCTTTGAACAGAACACAGAATAGCATACATAAATGGTAAAGGCAGTAAGGCACTTATTGTTATAAAAAGGCAACTCTTTCTGCAAAAGACTACTTATCCCTATAAAGACGGCAAACAGGCAATGCAGAAGACTACCCACAAAAGAGTAGACGCAAATGCACTGTGAAATAACGATGAGAAAACACACCTTTCCTCATGTTTAATCACTAGTTGGTAAAGAGCTTCAGTTAAAATGCACTATTATTACTGCAAAACAGGTTTGACCCACAAAATATGCGGAAGAGAACTGTGGCACTTTCATTTTGTAGTTTTTAGGAGGTAACACAAGGTTAAAATAACAGAAGAGGGCAAATATGTTTTGTGAACAGCAATATTAGAGGGTTTACCATTTAAAACAAACATGGAGATCCATGTATTTTAAAATGTAAAAATGAAAATTTGCTAAAAATCTACTCACCCTCCGGCTTTTTTTTTTTTATTGGAACAGATTTTGAGAAATTCAGCACTTGCTCACTAATGGATCATCTGCAGTGAATGGGTGCCATCAGACAGTTCAAACAACTGATAAAACCACAATAATCCACAAGTAATTCATTCGACTCCAGTCCATGTATGTTTAGAAGAAACAAATCAATCCATCATTGGTGTTTCAAATCATTTAAATTTAAATCATTGCTTCTGGCCAAAATACCAGTCCGTAATCCATAATTTCTTCCAGTGGAAAAGTCCATCCCCTGATATGATCTCACATCAGAATCCATTGATCATATTTGTTTAGAAGAGTTTTTGCTTTTAAATTGTGCTTGATCCATGCATATTTCTCTCCTGATTCAAACATCATGGAGCAAGGACTCATATTTTAGACAAAAGAAAGTTTGAAGTTGAAAATATCTTGATGAATTTATTACAAACACGCAGCTTTTCCCTTCACAAGTCATTAATTGATAGACTCGAGTCATTTGGATTACTTGTGGATATTTTTATGTGCTGTTTGAACTCTCATTCTG